ATAAGACTTTTCACGAAAACAATTAGAATACAAATTCTACAAATGACAAGAGATATAGGACTGCACTACTACTGAAAGGATACAGGATGATGAAATGAAATGTCATAATAAAAATTAAGTTAAACTTAGTTAAATTTTGAGTATTATGTATAAGACAAAGTAATAATAGTTTATAGTCAAATAAATGATTAATAATGATAATAATGCATATATATACATTAGATTGATAATATGAAATTTTAAATAAATTGTGAGTGAGGACTATGGAGATGATGTTGAAAATCTTTGTTATAAAAGATAATAATTCTATATAGAATAGAATATAAGGATGTAATATTACTGGATGATTCCAGGATAATGTAATGAAATACCATAATATAAATTTATTTTAAATTTAGAATATTTCACATAAAAAGGATATAATAATAGCTATAGTCAATGAATGTTTAATAATCATAATAATTTTATACATATATATTAGATTGATGATATGAGACTTTATGTAAATTGCAAGTGAAGACTATTGTGAGGAGGCACAAAAGCTTAGTAACCAATCGACACACTGTAGGAAATTCGAGGATGGTTTTTATACTTTGTGTGTGTCTATGTTTGTTTGTTTTATTATCGTTTAAAAATAAAAACTTTTTTTAAAAAAATAAAGTGACAGGTCAAGGTAGTTGTGATAATGATGACTCAAATAAGCAGGGGATCATGGTACTAAATGAAGAACTTACTTCAGAAAGGCTAAAGGGTGAACCAGGTATCACACATCAGTCACACAAGAAGAGCAAGGTATCCAAAACGAGAAGTCACCTTCAGGTTGATGATTCAATTGTAAGAGATGTAAATTTAAGAAAAGATATGGAGGTTTTGAAAGAGGGCAAGAATGCAAGTAAGGACTGTGATGTTGATGCTATTATACATCTTGGCACAAATGGTCTGTCCCCAAAAAGATGTACTTGCAGAATGATTTCCAGAGCTTGAGGTATGAACTTAGTAGTATAGGTTGTAGGCTTATCTTTTCAGAAGTTTTACCAGTATATAAGGAACAAAAAGGGAAGGACCAGCATGTAGCAGAGTTTAATGTTTGGATAAACATTTAAATTGAACAGTGGGGACAGAGAATTAATTGATACAGAACAGTTCTGTCCCCAGCAATCTAAAATTCATAAGATTATCAGTGCATGTAACAAAGATGTTTGTGCGGGTAAGGTTATCACTCCTGCTGTCAAGCAAAACCAAGCATTTAATAGTGAGTGCCATACCATGTGCATGAATCATACAATGGTAAGAAAATAGGGGCAGTCAGGCATAGCACAGGTTATGTAGACATTAAACACAGGGTCAATCAAAATGGATTCAAATGTCTATACACCAATGTACAGAGTATGAGGAATAAACAGGGTGAATTAGAAATTCAAGTAAATGAGGGCAGATACGATATTGTTGCCATTATGGAAACTTGCTGGGATGAAATCCACAAAGGGAACATAGAGCTAGAAGGATTTAAATTATTTAAAAGAAATAGACCAAATAAAAGAAGAGGTGGAATTGCACTATATATAAGTAACAACTACATCTCTACAGAAATAGAGCACAACAATAATGAGAACTATCTTGAATGCATTTGGGTCAATA